AAAAAAAAAACTCCAACGCGCGATTATTAGTTCGCTAGTTTCATTCAACCATCATGTTGGATTTTTGCCAACGTATTATTACGCCGTTTCTTTCTCTTTTTCTTCGACCGTGCGCGCACAACTCATTCATAGACGTGCATACACACATACACTCTTTTCTTTTCTTTTTCTTTTTCTTTCCGCGAACGGTGATTGTTGTAGGCCGTGTCGGTTGGTAAGCAGCAGCAGCATCGTCGTTATTGTGTTTTTGTTGGATAGAGATATCTCGTTTTTTTTTTCTTCTCTTCTCGTTTTCGATGAGAATAGAATATCCTCCGATTGCATGCGTACAACAAAAGAGACAAAAGAGAAAGAGAAAATGAGAGAAAAAAAAGAAAGAAAAAGAAAAGACAATGCATAGTGCTTTTTTTTCTTTCTCTCCCATTATCGCAACAAACATACACGCACACACATCATCATCTTATTCGTTTTTTTAGTCGATGAAATAAACATTTTCGTATTTGACATTTTAGATAAGCGTTTCTTTTGTCGAATTTCTACTATTCTTATTTTACAAACTATCAATATTATTATAATACAACAAAATCTTTCAAAACCAGCATCAATAAAACGATCACTTTTTTATCATTATGAGTACTCTTGTCCTTCCTCCCTCGTCTCATCATCATCATCATCCTCATCATCATCCTCAACAATCTCAAACAAATATCCATACCCAACGTCCACAAACTAATACAATATCAAAAACCAAAGCTCGATCAAGTAAGTTTAATTAATAATATCTAATTTTATCATCATATACAAAAGGCTAACCAGTACAACAAAGACAAGGCAAGAGAAAGAGGGTATTGCGTTCATATTTTTCTTTAGTTAATAGGCTTGTCATCAATAGGGTTGAGAATGATACACGCCAGAAACACATCATTGATATATAACAGGTTCTTTTTTTCGTCTTCGCATAATAAGATATACAGAACGAACAAGCAAGCGAAGTGGATAGGACAAAAGTACGGCTTATAATGTGTTATGTATCTTGTTTTACTGTATCCACTTTTGTACTGTTGATAAGATTAGATTGATAGTAACACTTGTTGGCTTCGATCCAACTAACTATATATTTATTTATTTATATTATTTTAGCTGCTGTTGATCCACTTCATGCAAGATATTTAATAGCTCATAAACTTGCATCTGGCGGATTCGGAGATGTTTATGCTGGTGTAAGAAAAAAAGATGGCATGCCAGTAGCATTGAAAGTCGTACCAAAAAAAACGGATGCGTGAAATAAATACAGTAAGATATATATATATATATATATTAGAACGAAAAACAGAAAAATATTTAATTATTAATTTTTTAGTCCGAAGGAAAATTACCACTTGAAGTTGCTCTATTACGTCGTGTTGCCAAAGTAAAAAATGTCATACATATGCTTGAATATTTTATACATAATGAACAACTTGTTATTGTACTTGAACGACCAGAACATTGTTGTGATTTATATGATTTTATTTGTGACCGTCCTGGCGGTCTTGATGAACGTTTAGCACGTGATTTTTTTAAACAAATTCTACAAATACTTAAAGATGTACATGCATGTGGAGTAAGTTAAATACAAAATGAATTTGTTTTTTCTTATAAAAATCTTTTAAATTATTTCAGGTTCTTCATCGAGATATTAAAGATGAAAATTTTCTTGTTGATATGCGTACTGGACAATTATATTTAATTGATTTTGGTTCTGGTGCTTTATTAAATGATGGAATTTATACAGATTTTGAAGGTACTGCATGTTATGCAACTCCAGAATGGGTTACATGTCGACGATATTTTGGTTTACCACAAACAGTTTGGTCTTTAGGAATACTTTTATATGATTTAGTCTGTGGTGATATTCCATTTTCTGATGATTTAGCAATTATTAAATGTCAACCACAATTTCCAAGTCATCTTTCATCAGGTAAAAGAAACTAGAAGATTCTAAACGACCCGACATATATATATATATATAGATGACAAATTATCGTAAATGAGTAAAAGACATATATGTCTTGTTGTTAAGCATAAAAAAAAACAAATTTGCTGAATGAGTAGTAGAACAGGATGACCTAATTAATAATATGTTTCTTTCATATTGAAAAATGTTTTTTTCCTATGGGCTTTCTTGTTAATGTATATACGGTGGTAATGAAAATGAAAAAAGAAAGAAAATGTCTTGTCACGCTATGAGTGAATATATCGGCGTAGTGTTTTTTAATTAATGAAACACATTGTAATTATATATATGGATTGATTTTAGAATGTGTACAATTAATTGAACAATGTTTATCTATAAGATCATCTGAACGACCGACATTAGATCAATGTTTACAATCTGAATGGTTAAAATTTGCATCAACTAGAGATTTATCGATATCATTCATATCTCGTCGTCGAATTGGTGGTGGTGGTGGACATAATAATCATCATTATTTAAAAGACTCAAATTCGACGTCGAAATCGACGACGGGCAGTACTTCTTCTCGTGGTAATTCCTTGTAGTATCAACGTTTTCTTTTTTCGTATTCTTTTTTTTCCGTCCGTCGTCTCAGTTCAATGATTTTTTGTTTCTATGCAAATGACGTGCATGTATATGCACAAATCTATTATGTACATCTTTTATTTCAACTTATAATCTCATTTATATTACAAGAAAAAACAACAACAACAATAATAACAATAACTAACATTATTTGTACAGACTAAATGCGCATTCATTCGGCTTTCTCTCTCTCTCTCTCTCTCTCTTTATTTTTTTAATATGTATCCTTTATTTTTTTTTCTTACTCTTGTGTCTCTCTTTACTGAATACAATGTAACAGTTATGTTATCGTTTCAAGGGAGATGAGTGGTATATATTCAAGTATATTTCTTTTTTTTGTTTCACTTAAAAGTGGTATGTACAAAGAGTACACATTGTATCATCGATTGCAATATTATTTTTTTTTCTTCTCTTGTATAAAGTTTTTCTTAAGTGTGTGTATGATTTGTTGCACAGTGAGATCGCTCTTGAAACTCATGCGCTCTGCGTTTAAAAAAAACAGTGTGTATGACGATGATGATGATGATGATGATGATAAAATTTGTCTTCTTTTTTTTCTCTTGTTTGTTCATTCAACTGTTTGACTCTCTCTCTCTTTTCCTGCGTGTGTGTGAGTGTGTGTGTACATGAAAATTATTTAAAAAAAAAAGGAAGAAAGAATCAAAACAACAGATTCATTTACAATGAAAAAAAATAATATTTGTTTTCTACTCGAAACTTGTATGATACGCAATTTCACTTGTTGATAGTGAATCTTAAAAGAAAAGATTTATTGCCTTTAGAAAAAGATCGTTTAGGGTTCTTTTTTTGTTCGAAGATTTTGTTTAATGTTATAATAGAAATCGAAGAAGATGAAGAAGAGAATAGTGAATGAGCTGTACTTATGCAATAAGAGAAAGAAAAAAAAAGTAAATGCTGTCGAGGTAAAGTATGTCTGTCGGTAATAAACGAAATACGTTGGATAAGTTTTTGAAACGCAATTGATGTTATGCATTGGATAATTTCTTCTCAGACATAGTAGAAGTTAACCGGTATTATGAAGGATATTATTCTTTATCTGACATACAAAATGGACACGTGTCCTACCACCTGCATATCTGATTGTCTTATATACTAGACTTCTTAAGTTTCCATTGTGTACAGAAATAGATTGCATGTAACAATGGCCTTCATGTTTTTACAATAACGCAGTTTTAAGACTTGCATGCTGAGTTTATTTTGTCATAATCATTTTGTCAGATTCATGAATATTATGAGGATTTCCTTCTTCATTTCCATGTACTCTATAACCAACATATAAGATATGCATGTCCATCATCGTATTGTCTTTCCTTTTGCGCGAGACAGCTATTTACTTCTATTATAATATACGAAGAAACAATATAGGCAATGCCTGTATGAATAGTATATGTATATACATGTGCGTATGTATATATATAGTAAATATTCAACTCAACTTTAGATATGAGTAGATATCAATACATATCTCTTTTTTTCTCCTCTTATATCAACACATCTTTCTTTTCATATAACACATGATTAGAATGATATAGTGTTCATAAACGATTGTTCTTTTGAACTAAATTTTGTCAAGGATCTTCGGATATTATTCATATGTTTAATCATCGTTGATATATGTTTCTTCTTTTTTTTATTGATAAGATAATGATGTACAATATATATATATATAAAATGATGGATTGTGTTGAATCTTTTGTTCGACGTTCGATTATATTTAGTCAGATACTTTTACCATTTATTATTGTCAACGAATGAATACTTGGCCTTGATCGATTAATTTAGATAGGTAACAAAAGTAAAAAAGAAAGTGACTCTCAATGCACATGCTTTGTTTTTTGATATATTTTCATTGGCGTTTAGTTTTATCATACAAAACTAGTTTTATATACGTGTACGTGTATGTCATAACAGAAGAGAACGATAAAATAGATTGTTATTTTTTCATTGTTTGATAAAATCATGAATAATTCCCTTCATTTAGTGATAAAAGAATATGGAAAAATATGAAAATTTGATATGACATAGAGTGTATCTTATTTATATTTAGTATATTATTCTACTGTAAAGCAGAGAATAATTATCGATAATGATGGATAAAAGCATCAATTTCCATTTAAGATATGATAAATAAGTATAAATTGGGTCTGGATATTTAATAAGTTCTAATAATATAAAATATATGTCATGTTAAACTCTACAGAAAGTCTATGCTTCCATAGATTTGTTATGTAATACACTCAAGGTCTTACAGTCATTTCTCTAACAATCAATAATTCTATTATAGGCTTACCATGTCTAAGAATGCATTCTTTTAGAAGATCAATGAGTAAATAACGCAGCTGCATTTAATTTCTCTTTTTGTCAAAATATTTATAGGTTTTAATTGATATTTTATTACTTGTCAGACACCATCCGGTATATATGCCTTTTTTTTATAGGTTTATCTCTATAAAAAGATATTCTTATTAACCTACGGAAATAATTTTCATATCTTAGAAAATTATGGTGCAATCGACCTTCCTGATAATATATCAAAAATGTATTGTTTATATAGTTGTAATCGTTTTGTTCTTTTAGCATTTATATGATTAAACAGAAGCCTTATTATGTCTTAATATAGTATGTCAGTATCAGTTACTTAGGCTTGTTTGTTACCTTTTATTCTATTGTTAATATATTCATATTTATTTAAATTTTGATAATTGAAAAATATATTTGTGTACTCATTTCCCTTTATATGATATAGAGTAAAATCTGATAATATTAATTAGCACTCAAGTATTTTCAATGTTCTTTAAAAATGGAAATGCTTTTACTATAATACCTTGCGGAAATTATCTTTTCTATTTTAAGAAAATTGATTCATTTTTTTAAAGTATGATAAAAGTGTCGTGGAGTATGTGTCATACGATTTTATATTCTACAAAAAGAAAGTATAATGCTTCATTTACTCCAGACTGTTTATTTGAAATCAATCAATTTTTTTGCATATGACTGATCAACAAATTGCTCGAGAGAATGTAAGAATTTTTGCTTCTAAACATTTTCCATTAATAGATGCTATCTGATTTTGTTGATTAATGTGATTGGTTTTATTATTCAAGTGTTAACAATAAGCCATAACACAATAATCTATTTGTAATTTACTATTTTTCGAAATGCGTCAATCAAGCGCAATGACCTAATAATACATTTTCATCAAATGTTCCTACTCTAGGTTCTTCCGACAATCACTTCCACTTTGTAATTTTTAGTATATATGATAATTTTATTTCACGAATAAAAATATACATTAATGTTATTCACAATGATTGAATTCTTTTTTTTTTTAAAAATAGAAATTATACATATTCTGGGAAAAATATTTAACTAAAAACAACAGATAAGAAGA